ATATATATATATATATATATATACACACACACACACCCAGATACAGGCAATAGAATATTCTGTCTTATTCTCTAACCCTTTCTTAATGATTCCCAATACTGTTTGCTGTTTTGACTGCCGCTGCACACTGAGTGGATGTTTTCAGAGATCTATCCACAATGACCCAAGCTTGCTCTCTTGAGTGGTAACAGCTATTTTAGTCCCCATCATTTTTATATATATACACACACACACACCCAGATACAGGCAATAGAATATTCTGTCTTATTCTCTAACCCTTTCTTAATGATTCCCAATACTGTTTGCTGTTTTGACTGCCGCTGCACACTGAGTGGATGTTTTCAGAGATCTATCCACAATGACCCAAGCTTGCTCTCTTGAGTGGTAACAGCTATTTTAGTCCCCATCATTTTGTACATACAGCTGGGACGATGTTTTCCAATGTACATTACTGTGCACTTAACATTGAATTTCACCCACCAGTTTGTGGCCCAATCACCCAGTATTGTGAGATGTTTTTGTAACTCTTTACAGTCTTACTGGGACTTAATAAAAAACTACTCAAGAGAGTTGTCTGCCAGTGTTGTTCCTGCACTGTTCACCTGTTTTTCTGGATCATTTATGAATGAGTTGAATAGGATTGGGTGCAGGACAGACCCCTGCGGGAGACCACCAGGTACCTCTCCAGTCTGAAAACTGATCAATGATTGCTACCCTTTGTTTCCTGTCTTCTAACCAGTGACCAGGGCATAGTATCCAGAGAAACGGGGAACCTGCACCCTTTCTCTGGACAGCTCGCTGTTCCTTCCCTACCTGAGCCGCATCAGCACTGATTCGAGTTGCATCTGTGATCAGCTGCTTCTCCTGCTCCTCCACCTCAGGGTCAGGCTTGGTACGGAGATGATCTGGCACCACCTCATGGCTGAAGACTGGCACACGCCCTTCTGTCTGTCGCTGGAAGAACCCAACAATCCAGACTCAGAGCCCAGCAGTCACACCACTGGGGCAAGGAATGCAGGTGAGGGAGCCAGAGCCCTGGCTAACAACGTGCTGCAGAGGGATCTGAGCTACAAAGCAGTAAGTGATTTGGGTCTAATAAGTTCTATGTCTGTCCTCATGGTATCCAACTATGCTATGGGCCGCTTGAGATCTCTTCTCCCCCAGGGTGACACTGGTCACAACAGTCATGTTTAGTTGGGATCATAGGACCATAGGGCTGGAAGAGACCACAGAAGGCCATCAAGCCCAGCCCCCTGCCCTAGACAGAACCAATCCCAACCACGCCACACGTCAGTATCAGGGGCTGGGAGTTCTTAGTGGCACGTCTGGACAACAGAATGTGCAAAGGGGAACCTGGGAGAATGCGGCTGGGCAGCCAGTGGGGAGGCCAGTCAGTGCTGGGGTAGTCCCTCGGGGGGCTCTGGCTGCACGTTCGCAGAGTGGAACAAGTAACACAGATGGGCCCGAAGTGCAAGTTTGCAGGTGGCAGCTGCTGTGGGATAAGCCACTCTTCCCCACAGCGCTCACCCTCTCTGCCCTCTGCGGAATAGCTGCATGTTCAGCACCAGGAGGCTGTAGGGGAGTCGGAGCTCGTGCCTGAAGCCCAGCCCAGTATGCCCCGGGGAGCAGCTCAGAGCTGCTGGGCTCTTACCATGATCTCCTCATCACGATCTGGAGACAGCACCAGAGGGATGATGACCTGGTTGCGCATCAGGGGTGTCTTCTCGTGCTTCAGCACTTTGTTCAGCGTGTTCAGCTGGCCTGAGAGCAGCGCAAAGCTGTCCAGGACCGAGGGCCTGGGAAGGGAGAGGGGATGAGCGAGACCGGGCATGTGCTCACAGCTGTGAGACCCTCACGTCCAGGGGCCGCACAGGCTGGGTGAGCAATGGTCGGCTGTGAGAGTCCTGAAAAAAGCCTAACTCCAGGACAGCCGACAGATTTCGCCAGGCCCTAGGCAAGCTGGGGATTGGCTCCAGGTCTCTGGAAGGGGTGGGGCCTGGCCTCCCCCAGCCAGCTCTTCAGGGCTCTGTCCAGGCTTGGGGCCCCAGCTGCTGCCATTACAGTGGCAACGGCGGGTGCGAGCCTTGTCCCCTTTAAATCGCCAGCCCCAGGAAGCTCTCAGGAACAGAGGGCTCAAAGCAGGGACTGACAATGCCCCTCCCTGTGGGATGCCGGTGGAGGGTGCGGGGCAGGCCCAGCATCACGGGGAGGGGAGAAGGGGAGCCGGGGCCTGGAGATGCTCACTCCCCATTGTATGTCACATGGCTGTGCCCGAGACACCCGTCAGCTCCCACTGGGAGGAGAGAAGGGCTCAGGGCCGGATGTGACACTTCAGAGCCAATGAAGCAGAGGAGGTTTCTGGGGGTTCTGACAATCGTGAGGTATAAACAGCAATGCTCTCCCGCGCTTGGCAGCAAGGAGAGCCTCCGCCACTCAGCCACTGGGCCTGACAAGTCTCAGAGCGAGCCGCGTTTGTCTGTACGTGCACAGACGAGGAGTCAGTCCACGGCGCTCCTTCCCGCGGGTCCAGACGGTGAAGATGTCATCACAAGGAAGCCCCTGAAGAATTCTACAGGAATTTCAACAATTTCCACCCCATCAACCTCGGCCGGGACCAGTCCACACAAGAGATCCACTTCCCGGACATTACAGCTGGTCACATACACAGCACCCTATACCGAAACCAACTGATGGCTGTTCTTGCCTACATGCCTCTAGCTTCTGCCCAGGACACATCCCCATCACACAATCAGTTTTCTACACCCAAGCTCGAAGATACAAACAGATTTGCTCTAATCCCACAGATCGAGACAAACACCTACAAGATCTTTATCAGGCATTCTTAAAACTTAAACACCGCCTCAGAGAAGCAAGGAAACAGACTGACAGAGCCAGACAAGTACCCAGAAGTCACCTGCTTCAGAAGGGGGCTGCCATCATGTGATTTCCATAGCAAGCCTCTGGGGAACGCACAGCAACAAACGTCAGAGCTGCCTGTGTAGCAGTCAGGCCGCATGGCTGCCAAGGCCAGGAACTGCGGAACGAACAACAGACCCATCGCACAGCAAATGTGGCTTCTCAAGACGTTCTTCTCCACGCGAATCCCACTCAAGGGCTGCTTCAGAGCCATGGATGCAGCTTCATGCTAGGGGTGTGAAAGCATCACCCTTCCCAGGGACCAGTTAACTGGTGCTTGGGAGCAGCCTGCTGCAGACAAAGAGCTGTCCCAGTGTCAGGGCTGGGAGGCTCATGGTGCCGGTAGTAACAGCCCCCGCACTGGGATCCGCTTTATCAGTTAACCAGTTACACGTTAGGTGACCCTAACCATTAACTAGGATTTCACAACCCTACTTCATGCACAAGGCCCAAGTGCCTCTTTAGCACGAACCACGGCTCCAAGCCACAACTACGACTTTTACTGCCGCACTTGGGGGGAGGAGGGAGAACGACAGAGACCCCCTAACCTGGAGCGGAATGACACTGAGCTGGACTCTGTCAGGTTTCAGAGCGACTCCATCCCTGGCTCTGCTGAAGGCTCTGATTCAGTGCAGATCCCAGCCTCCCATGGGACTGTGGGTGCCCCAGTTTGGTGCCAAGGAGGCAACAGTGGCAGGTCTGCGCCGAACCAGGGATGCAGCGCAGAGCCAAGGATGGATCATCCCCTCCACCAGAACTCGGCCTCCTGGTGGCGTGGCCAGATAGGTCAGAAAGCCATTCCCAGGCAGGGACAAAATCTAACCGGATCTTTCCTTTCAGTGAATTCGGAGAAAGCCGAGAAAGTTGGTTGCCAGTGACAGCGAATCAGCCAAGACGTTTGCTAAACGTTTCCAATGGTTAAATGCACTCTGTCAAAAAGAACGATTCATTTCCAGTCGGAATTTGTACAGCTTCAACTTCCCGCCACTGGATTGTGCTAGACTTTTCTCTGTTATTAATAAGGCTCTTTAGTCTCTTTGTTTCCCCATAGCTACTTATAGACTGTAAGTCACCCCTTAACCGTCTCTCTGTTAAGAGAGACTAAAATAGCAGACGTTATCACTGGTTTTCTAATCCTTTATTCATTCTTGTGGCTCTTCTCTGAACCCTCTACAATTAATCAGCCTCCTTACTGAATTGTAGGCACCAGAACTAGCCACAGGACTCCAGCAGTGGTTGAAGAGTGCCAAAATACAGAGGCAAAATAACCGCGCTCCTAGTCAACATTCCCGTTTATTCCTCTCAGGATAAATTTAGCTCTTTTGGCCAGAGCACGGAGAGCTCATATTCAAATGCTTATCCCCCAGGACCCTGGGAGCCACAGCTTACCAGGACAGAATCTCCCATCCTGTAAGCATGGTTGACCTTCTGTCCCAATAGAGATACATTAGCTATATTAAAATGCACACTGTCTGCACTCTACTTAGCCAGGAGACCAGGTCACTCAGTGACCTGTCTCTTCATTATTTAATACTTCCCCTATTTTTGTGTCATCTGCAAACTCTATCAGTAACAATGTGTTTTTCTCCAGCTCACAGACAGAAATGTTAAATAATGTACATCCAAGAACCAGTCCCTGCAAGACACCACTGGACACATGCCCACTTGATGATGATTCTCCATTTACAAGTCCATTTTGAAACCCTTCAGCCAGTTTTAATCCATTTAGTGTGTGCAATAGTCCAGATGTGGGCATATCACGGCTTGAATTAGAGGCAATAGCAGTTTGCACTTCTACAAAGCCTGTAGCTGCTTCTTTGCTCAGAGGATCATCTGCCAAACCCAGCGTGTGGGCCCCTGCCCTCCGTAATCACCTACCAGCCATGTGGCAACACCCCCATTGCTAACATGAAAAGTTAACACTGAGGGTACATCTAGACTACAGAGTTTTGTCGACAAAGCTTCTGTCGACAAAGAGCATCTACACTACATTCAGTTCTGTCGACAAAGCAAGCTGCTTTGTCGACATGGCAGTGTAGACGCAAGGACAGTTTACATGCAGTAATGCTTTCTGTCCACAGAACTCTGTCGACAAAAGGCGTTATGCCTCGTGAAATGAGGTTTACCAGCGTCGACAAAACTGCTGAGTCCTGTCGACGTTATGTCGACAACTCAGCGGTAGTGTAGACGCAGGTATAGTTTTGTCGACAAAACCCTGTAGTCTAGACACACCCTGAGAAAGATTTTGTGGGTGGCGATTCTTTTCATGTGATTCAGCAGGTGGAAAAAATAAGGACCACACGTGCAGTCGGGTCTCCAGCAAGCAGAAGAGCACATCTTGCACAACACGGCAGACTAGCTGTGGCACCCCGCACTCACAAGCATGCACATACGTACCAGGTGAGCCGATCATACTCATTCTCGAGCTTATAGATGAAGCTGACCAAGGAGTTTTTCAGGTCAGCCACCTGGCTAATAAGCGCCTCCAGAGACAACTCCAGTTGCTTCTCCTCCCTCTGCAGAAAGTGGGAAAGAGAGGGGTTAGGACACAGCCTAGTGCTCTGGTCACCACCTGTGCCGACCCCCTGCCAGACACACTCGTTTGCAGCACCTCATGCCCCTTAGCAGACAGAGCAATCCCATTCTCCCAGGAAAGACCTGTCCTGGAGATAAAATCCCTGGGCTTTCTCTGCCACACTCATTTCCCTTTTGCCACAACACATTCTCGTGCAGCTCACAAGGCAGCTGGTCTCTCCTCCATTTCCTAAGCACCTCTACTCCTGACCTCCAGACCCACCTGATATGCAGGTAACAGACTCTCTCTCTCTGCCCACCCTTGGTCTCTTTCTGACCACAGGTCCTTCCCCACTGCCGGGACCCTTGCAGGCTCCCACGTTTCATCTGCCACTTTTACTCCGTGACAGGTTCTGAGACACTGTGGTGATCAGAGATGTTAACATTAATCAACTCATCGAATGGTCTACAATAGGGATGTGAAAAGTTAACCGGGAAGTGTCTCCCTAAACAGGTCATGCTTACCAATTCTGGTTAACCAGTAACCGTTGGGGGGCCCACTGTGGACAGGACACATCCCCAAGGCCTTGCCCTGAAGGACTGAGTAGGTCTGCTAGTGATAAACAATTCAGTCTGTAATCGACCAGATTTGTTGTAGGTTTTTGCTTTTTTAAATGACATGGGATTTCCATGAAGCGATTAACAAGGATCTTATCTGAAGAAGCTCATGATGCTATCTATTTTTGTTAGTCTCTACAGTGCCAAAGGACTACTTGTTATTTTTAAGCATCTTCAGTGTTCATATCGACATGCCAAAGCAATTTAGTAGATTTCAGTGCCAGAATGGACAATTGTGATCATCTAGTCTGACCTTGTGTATAATGTAGGTTAGAGAACTGCCCCACAATCATTCCCAGAGACTACCTTTTAGAAAAGCTTCCAATCTTCAATTAAAAATGGCAAGCAATGGAAAATCCACCATAACTCTTCATAAGTTGTTCCTATGGTTTGTTGCTCTATTAACAATTTACACTTTATAGCCACTCTGAATGTGTTTAGCTTCATCTTCTAGCTATTGGCTCATGTTAGATTTTTCTCTACTATACTGAATGGCCAGTTATTAAACACCTGTTCCTCAGAAGTCACTCTTTAATCATCTCTTCAGTAGGCTAAACAGATCAACCCTCCTGCATCTATCACTATAAATAAGGTATGAATTGGATATTGCCGTTATTTTGATTTCAAATATGTCACTTTGGTTTCCCCTTATTAAAAACACTTACGGGTGTTCCATACAGGCTGTCTTTGAAATAAACTAAGGAGGGGCTTTACCACTCTTGTATCTAATCCAGGAAGAGTTCTTACTTAGGCCAAAATACTGGCACTAAACATCATAATTGCCTCTGTCCATGCATAGAGTGCTGCATCAATACAAAATGTGTCACATCCACCTCTGTAGCTACAAAAACGAGTTTTCGGAAAAAAAAAAACCTGTAGTCTAGACACACCCCTGGTGATTTCAAGTGCTTTAAACTATCCTCTCCCAAGTTAGGGATTTGGAGTCCACGAAATTCCATGAAGCAGCCAAGGCTGTTACACTGGGATCTGTCTCCTTCCCTTCAGATTGGTTTCTAATGAAACACCTGTGGTACTCCACCATTTAATTCTGCTTTGGGAAACAAGAGGTCCCCATGGCTACTAGGACTGCTGTGAGGCTGGAGCTATGGTGAAGTTTCACAATGCTGCAGATTTCTCTGCCATGTTCCTCAAGAGGATAAAACAGCAGTTTGACTCTTCTGTTGCTGCTGTCCTCCTGCATGGACTGGTCTGTGTACTGCTCAAAGTCCTCTTTCCACTGGGTCCATGACTGCATTAGGTTTGTGCCTGCAAAATCCAGGGCTCTTGGGAGTTTCAGATGACATTCCATGGTTCAGGCTGTAAGCTGCAGCTCTGCAGAAAGCTCCCAGCTCAGCTGCTAGGAGCTTCCTTAGCAAAATGAGAAGCTGAACACTGGTTAAGCTGAATTAGTGCAATTTTTATTATACCTTGTTTCCTGGCATTCCATAAATAGAGAATATAGGGCCTTCAACTCCCCTTCCACTGATCCTAATACAAGAAGGACGCTTCCCCTAATGTGCCTAAATAATTCTGCAGGCTGCTCACACAAAGCAAAGCTGTCCATGGATATTCCACCCCTCTGCAGCCTCCTTTGGGGAGTGGTAACAGCATGTAAAATATTTAATTAGAAAATGATCAGAGCACCTCCTCTGATATGCCAAATGGTACAGGCAGTCCCCGGGTTACGTACAAGATAGGGACTGTAGGTTTGTTCTTAAGTTGAGTCTGTATGTAAGTCGGAACTGGCGTCCAGATTCAGCCGCTGCTGAGACTGACCAGCGGCTGACTACAGGAAGCCCAAGACAGAGTTGCTCTGCCCCAGGCTTCCTGGAATCAGCCACTGATCAGTTTCAGCAGCAGCTGACTTGGGGATGCCTGGGTTTCTTAAGTTGAATCTGTATGTAAGTCAGAACTGGCGTCCAGATTCAGCCGCGGTTGAAACTGATCAGTTTCAGCAGCGGCTGATGCCAGTTCCAACTTACATACAGATTCAACTTAAGAACAAACCTACAGTCCCTATCTTGTACGTAACCCGGGGACTGCCTGTATCTGCATTGACACCCATGGATGCAAATACCCCACAGATATAAAGCAAATATCCACAAACTTGCACGGTTCTAGAGATAAAACTTCTGTCAGCATCTGCAAAAATTAACCATGGTATACTCATGGATATAAAGCAGATATCCACAGATTTGCAGGGCTCTATTCATGCAATTTAGGGTAGGTGGAAAACCTACACCATTATTTATTACTCTGTGATTTGTATTGTCATTTGAGATCAAAATGACTTCCTGTGTTTTTGTCCTGGAGAACTTTTTCTATGGCCATTTTTATGCTAATGAAGCGCGGGAGATTTAAATCCCTACTTCATTAGCAATTGCGATACGTCTAATTTGCATCCCTTTTCTGAAAAAGGGATGTAGTCTAGATTTAGTGGCTACGTCTACGCTGGCATGATTTTCCGAAAATGCTTTTAACGGAAAAGTTTTCCGTTAAAAGCATTTGCGGAAAAGCGCGTCTAGATTGGCAGGACGCTTTTCCGCAAAAG